TTTGAATGAAACAATGTAGAATGCTGTTGAAGGTATTTCCTGCTTTCTGTGATTACAATCACCTTTGGTACCCCCTCACCCCCACTACTTTTATGACCCCTCCAGAGGACATGTCAACATCAAAAGAGGAACTGTTATCTCAAGTATCTGTGTTGCAGCTATTGAGGGACTGCGCTTTGCTATGAGTACTATTGATCTCAGTCTCTTTCCTGAACATTTGTTTGCACACTTAAAACAACATATGTGGTGTTAAAGTTTATCTTCTTCCTCCTTGGTTGATTAACGGCCCCCCAAGTGTCTCTTCCGTTGTTCCCCCGCACCTTGGGTCGGTCCCTGATCGCTGTTAGGCCCCCCTGGGAAGACCTCTTATCTCAGGATGTATGCATAGCGGGGGTTCTGGAACTTGCTATCACACCAAATGGTGGGTCGTGGTGGTTTGGTCTCCCCCCACCACTCCAAATGTCTTCCAGCCACGCCGGGTCAGATGTCATGTTACTTTCTTTGTTTCTGGGATTTGCATGAGAGGCGTACCTAACCGCCTCTCATTATCATATTGTCTCTATATAATCTCATGAATGTGTTTCTTCTAGGCTTCCTGATTCAAATCTGGACCCCTCAGGAGCCCGAATCGATTCGTAAACTGCAGAAAATAAATTTAAAACCCTTCGAAGTAACTGTACATCGCCTCCAGCCTTTATTTGGATTACCAACATTCTCCTCGTCCGAAATTTAACGAACACGCGGGAAAGAGGAGGCCGCTCTTCCCACAACATTATATATACACGCCGCATACATCCATACATCCACACACACGCAGACACATACACACGCTTGTGTCTCTATTTGTCTATGCGCTCTGACGACGTCTAAAGCAGCGGTCCCAATCTTTTTTGCACCACCGACCAGTATAATGTCGGACAACATTTTCAGGGGCCGACCTTTAAGGCCAGATAAATACAACAAAATAAAATGATATGGCCTGCATGAAAAGTATGGTATTTTCGAAACATAATAATAAACACGAATCATGACACGAGGAACATCCTATCTGGCCGCAACACTCGCTGTTCGCTATGTTAACGTTTTGACGTGCCTTCAAAATAAGATACACCACGAATACAAAGTGCATGACAAATTTGACTCACCATCGCTGCATATTATGCAGAGTGGGCTTGGTGTGTGGGAATCTCCCGTTGAGATAAAGCCGGATTTTAAGTAGGAGTCCTGACACTGTCTATTAAATGTAGCCTTGTTTTTCTTGAAAGTCGTCGGCTCCTCTTCTGTCTCCTGGCTGGGCCTTTTCCCCTTCCCAAAGAAACTTTCCAAAACCGTTTTTAAAATGTTGTACTCATTTTGCTAGCTCCTGGGTTTCATTTTAGCGGTAACCTATCACGTGACCGAGAAGCGCGCCTTGGCCTGTAGACGGATGTAACAGAGGATCTGGTAATTTTTCAAAATAAAATAACATTCAGAGTCCGAATTAAATAAAACGGATGTAATGTAAGTTATTTATTCTTTCAAATGACCCACGGAAACAGCAAAACGAGATATTCCTACTATGCTGGCAGAACTGAGGGCTCGTGATGTATGCGCGAGTCTTTCGCAATGCAGCGAACTCTCACTTATTTGTGGGTCAGCATGCGCGAAATTCGCCACCGGACTGCCTGTGAATATTCTCATTCATCCACCGCGAATGGTTTCATTCTTTTGGAATGCAAAACAAGACTCAATCGTCCCATGATGAGACCATCAATGAAGAGTACCTTGGTCTAAAAGTAAAAAAATAAAATTTAAAAATAGCTGGCTACCTGTGGTATCTATAGCTTGGCGGCGTTCGATCCTCTCCACGCAACTCAGCCCTGGGCGATCTGAGGAGAGAAACCAGGGATTGAACAGTTTGTAGAGTTTGACTATAAAACAGGTAACAATGAAAAGTTTATTTGTAGTACATGCCAGTTTGTGCTTTTCTTTTGGTTTGAAAAATATGATGATCAAATTATATCAGGGTGGGCCAGTGGTTAGCGCATCGACCTCACAGTGCAGAGGTCGTGGGTTAGATCCCAGCC